AAGAAAGAAAGAAAGAAAGAAAGAAAGAAACTGTTTCCCTTCTGCCAGTTGTTCTCCTGCTCTACAATGAACAATCTGAATAAACAGCAATGCTTTCCGTCCTTTATCCTGGCTAAGGTGATCACGAACCCCAAAGATGGCATCCCTTCAAAGAAGCAAACTTCCAAATTCTAAAACAGCTAAGCTGCAGATAGTGGGTCATTCTATTTGTATACTTATAATGAACATTTCGGAAAAGTCTTCTAAACTGTCCTCCCATCCTCTATGTACCCCTCCCACCACCTCGGACCCTTCTCCTTTCCCACCAGACACTCCATCAGACACTGAAGTCAAACTGAGCCAGCTCTTCCTGGAAACAATTTGGCTCTCTTCTCAAAGTTTGTACTCAAACTTGTCCCTGTGAATATCCAGTTATCCTCCCAGGCTAAGACCCAGATGTCACTGTTTTGACTCAGGTGATCACTACCCCACTCGTCTTACCGTTGCCCTGTTCAGATGAAGATCAGGATTGCTGCAAGCCATCCTGTCAACTTTCTCCTACAGTGAGAGAGAAAGACAATCAGTGGATCCTATCTCACTCTTAAGGATGGTCAACATGCCCTAGACCTCTTCCTTGTCAAAATGTTACCTACACCCACCTTTTTATAGAGTAACTGCTTGAGTGGTCTATTACTCAGTCCCTGACACCTCAATGATGTAATGGTTTTTATGTGTACATGAAATATTAAAATATTATTATAATTTATCCATGTAATAGTATACAGATAAAATAAATGTGTAAAAGCATTCTGATAAAAAAAATTTTTAATAGTGAGATAATGGTATAAATGAGGAAAGCCTAGAAAAGAAATTTCACTTATTTAAAGCATTTCCTCTGCCCACAAGCCCAGCTCCAAATACTGGCAGAATCATGTTTCTACATTCAAGCCCCCTTAAAACATCCATTGAAAGGGGAGCCTGGGTGGCACAGTCGGTTAAGCGTCTGACTTCAGCCAGGTCACAATCTCACGGTCTGTGAGTTCGAGCCCCGCGTCAGGCTCTGGGCTGATGGCTCAGAGCCTGGAGCCTGTTTCCAATTCTGTGTCTCCCTCTCTCTCTGCCCCTCCCCTGTTCATGCTCTGTCTCTCTCTGTCTCAAAAATAAATAAACGTTAAAAAAAAAATTAAAAAAAAAAAAAACATCCATTGAAAGTCAAATTCTGGGGGCGCCTGGGTAGCTCAGTCAGTTGGGCGTCCAACTTCAGCTCAGGTCTTAATCTCACAATTCATGGGTTCGAGCCCCTGCAATGGGCTATCTGCTGTCACCACAGAGCTGGTTTTGGATCTTCTGACCCCTTTCTTTGCCCCTCCCCTGCTCACACACTCACTCACTCTCTCTCTCTTTCAAAAATAAACATTTTTTTTTCAACGTTTATTTATTTTTGGGACAGAGAGAGACAGAGCATGAACGGGGGAGGGGCAGAGAGAGAGGGAGACACAAAATCGGAAACAGGCTCCAGGCTCTGAGCCATCAGCCCAGAGCCCGACGCGGGGCTCGAACTCCCGGACCGCGAGATCGTGACCTGGCTGAAGTCGGACGCTTAACCGACTGCGCCACCCAGGTGCCCCAAAAATAAACATTTTTTTAAAAATTATTAAGAAAAAAAAGAAAGTCAAATTCTGATTCTCTAATTTAAATAGATGGCCAGAAATTATGGAAAGAGCCCAAATGTCCAAATGATTAAGAAGATGTGGTGTCTATATACATAATGGGATACTACTCAGTGATCAAAAAGAATGAAATCTTGCCATTTGCAACAATGTGGACAGAACTAGAGTGTATTATGCTAAGTGAAATAAGTCAAAGAAAGATCTCATATGATTTCACTCATATGTGGAATTTAAGAAACAAAACAGATGAACATAGGGGAAGGGAACCAAAAACAAGATAAAAATAGAGAGGGAGGCAAACCATAAGAGACCTTTAAATACAGAGAACAAACTTAGGGTTGCTGTAAGGGAGGTGAGTATAGGGATGGGCTAAATGGGTGATGGGCATTAAGTAGGGCACTTGTTGGGATGAGCACTGGGTGTTATATGTAAGTGAAGAATCATTGGGCTCTATTCCTGAAACCAATACTACATTGTATGTTAACTAACTTGAATTTAAAGAAATTAAAAGAAAAAAATGATAAAAAGAATGAATGAAGAAATGAATACATACATACATACATACATACATACATACATACGTTGATGGCCAGAAACCACATGCAAGTGCAGACAGATGTGCTGTGAAGAAACTGCTATGTTCCTGGCTATATTCGTTGTATTTTTCTAATTATGTTCATTGCCTAGCACATTACAAAAGTACAAACACATGAATTAAAATTGTTTAAATGGTTGGGTGTGCCTGGGTGGCTCAGTTGGTTAAGTGTGTGACTTCAGCTCAGGTCATGATCTTGCAGTTCGTGAGTTTAAGCCCCACATGGGCTCTGTGCTGACAGCTCGGAGCCTGGAGCCTGCTTCAGATTCTATGTCTCCCTCTCTCTCTGCCCCTCTCCCACTCGTACTCTGTCTCTCTATCTCTCTCAAAAATAAATAAACATTAAAAAAAAATTTTTTTTTTAGTTGTTTAAATGGTTGGCTCAAATATGTCTATGGTTGGTTGGGTAACAACATTAAGAGTTAAAAGCAACAATTTAGCAGAAGCCAAATATAAAATTTTTAAAACTATACTATTATTATTTTTTAAAATGTAAACACTCACCAAAGTAAGAAATCAGACTAAAATATAATTCCTCTGCCTTAAAGCTCCCTGATTGAAAAAAGGCCAGTCCCTAAACTACAAACATGAATATAAGGTAGGTGCATTCTTTATTCTGCCACACAGAACAAAGTAAGTAATGGTAAATTAAAAAGCAAAGGTCTATGTCAAGAGAAGCAAGAAAGCAAAAAAAAAAAAAAAGTGTATAGGAGGCCTAAATCAAAAGTGCTCAGAAGACCAATGTGAAGCATCTAAGTGGCCAGGCTCTCACACCTGAAGGAAACCCCCATGTAAGTGGCTACTGATATAAAAACAGCCTGAAAGCCTATGCAAAGCAGGAGCTCCAGTGGATTAATCCCAAGGAAATGACTGCAGAATGGGGTATATACTGTTTTCTATTATAGCCTGTGGGAAATCCAGAGCCACAGTATCTCATGGTTAATCTAGGGAGAGCACTTAATTTATACTTAAGTATTAGTGCTTTCATTTTTCTTTAAAAATGTACACAAATATTAATAAGCCTTATTTTAAATTTTTTTAATGTTTGTTTATTTTTGAGAGAGAAAGAGTGCGAGTGGAGGAAGTGCAGAGAGAGGGAGACACAGAATCTGAAGCAGGCTCCAGGCTCTGAGCTGTCGTTAGGTACAGAGCCCGACACAGGGCTCAAACCCACAAGTGGGGAGATAATGACCTGAGTCAAAGTTGGATGTTTAACCAACTGGGCCCCCCAGGTGCCCCAATAAGCATTATTTTAATATAGACTTTTTCCCCACTACAAAAGATGAACATGTTGGGATGGGCTCTGCGATTGATTATACATGCCTACAGGAAACCTGGATAGTTCAAAGAGCTGTCTAGCAGTGAGGCACCCATATAGGCTGTTGCTAATACTCAAGTTATAAGAAGATATAGGGGTGCCTGGGTGGCTCAGTCAGTTGAGTGTCTGACTCTTGATTTTGGTTCAGGTCATGATCTTCTGGTTCGTGAGTTTGAGCCCCACACTGGGGGGCTCTGTGCTGATAGCATGGAGCTTTGCTTGGGATTCTCTCACTCTCCCTCTCTCTCTGCCCCTCCCCTGTTTGCTCTCTATCTCTCTCTCAAAATAAATAAAAACAAACTTAAAAAAAAAAAATTAAGAAGAAATAAGTCACCCCTGCATACACAGCTTTGCAAAACCACACACACTGAACGCCACTAATGACGGCCCATGCTGCTTGCTAAAGAGCCACATGGAAACTGCTGTTCCTACCTCTATTCATCTGGCCGGGGTGACCATAAATACTTACTGCTTGGGCATAGGCACTGAGGGCTTGCTGGGAGATCTTAGGGTTCTGGCCAGTATTGAAGTAAAGAGAAAGATATGCATTCCCCAGAATATCTGAAAGAGAAACAAAGGGTTTCCGGCTCGTTGTGTAAGGGGCTTGGAAGTTACCACTCCATCCTGACAGACTGAAAAATCCTCAACTCTTCTTGGATCCAGAAGACAGGGAACAACACAGGGCAAACCACTGCCCCTAAAACTGGAGAGAGTCAGGCGAACACAGGGAGTGACCAGGGCAGACACTCACGAGCTGCAGGACCCGGTGCTGAGGTAGGCACACCTGAACTGTAACTGACAAAGTGCTGGAGGTTCAGCGTGGACAAGTCTGGGAGCAAGAAACTCCAGGGGTCCCTGTGGGGCAATAAACTTAGAGATTCCCCGGGCTTACACCAATGGGTTAACAAGGCGTAAAGAATTACAAAGCCATAGGATGTTCACACCCAAGTTTCGGTAAACAAGATTAGATAAATAAGTATAGAGAGGGCGGGATGAAGGCCCCAATACAGAACACAGGTATATGAAATAACCAAGATTAGATACTCAGGGCAGAAGCGCCCCACAATTTAGTACTACAGCAGAAAGCTGCTTTCACAGGAGGGAAGGATCAAGTTAGATAAACAGGTAACTAGAGCTATAGACTGCTGCCTGCCTGTGGGTGAAGCTGCCCAGAGCGGAGCTGATTAGCAAAAGAAAAAGGTGCCTTGTTAACCCTGAGGTTACTTGCTCTGTCTCATCCCCTAGGCTACCTAAGATAAACAGAGGTGCTGCCTCCCGTCTGCTGTATACAACCTTCCATTCGGTGCCAGGATTTCGTTTTATATTAACCCAAACCCCTAACCCCGAATATCTTCAAGACCCCTTTTCCCTCACGTCCATGAGTTAATGTTCACACACAGTCTCTTTGTGCACGTCCATCACCATGTTTGTAAGCCTTCTGATCCTAATAAAAACGGGGCAAAGACCCTTATACTGGGCTATTGTCTTTTCCCAGACATTAGCCATCTCTCACTTTTAATCCTGCGTCCCATTTTCTCGCCAGACAAAAAAGAATTTCAGACTTAAGAGTCTATGACAGGTCCAGGTCATAAGGAGGCCCCCACAATACTGTGAGATTTACCTCCAGAAGCGTCAACCAGCCAGATTCCCCCAGCAAGTATCAGAGAAAAATCCCCTCATACTTCCAGCAAGGGGAAGGGGAGAAAGAACTGTTCTGAACTACGCCAGAGATCCCTGTTCTTAACAAGGTCTACCCTCGGCAGAAACTATCTAACCAGAGCCTAACTGATCTGAGGAAGGAAAATATCCACCTGGCTCTCTCCTTGTACCTAGGAGAGGCGAAACACCCACTTCCAGCCCACCCCAGCCATCCTGCCCCTCCTAAGCAGAGAAAAAACTGAGATACATAGTGATGAATCATCTCAGAGCCCAGCTTCAAGATATAACTTATTCTGGTCACCCTCAAGGGTCTATTTGAAAGGTCCCACATCTGACAAAATCCAGTGATAACACTATATTTAGTATACCCCAAATTCCACTGAGATAAAGAGGCAAACATAGACCCAAAGGAGAAACTTGAACAGACTGCACAAAAGTCCTGCCTTGCTTATGTGCAAATAAGCGTCCTCTCTTGGATGAAACGATCCAAGAGTTCCTAGAATAGCGGCTCATCAAAATACCTTTCCGGCTTCTTCAAAACAAAGACACTTAGAACCAGACTCAACAGTTGGGCTGCAGATGATTGTGGAATGTAGCCATACTGAGAACCACTGCTCTAGAAAATTGGAGACCTTTTTCTTTTGAGAGCACTCACACCAGGAACGGCCATCATGGACATCCATCTGCACGGCCAACTTAGCCTGTCGGACACTGTCCATTACATGACGAGAATGTTCATCTCCAGTGTCAGTCCGCAGCTGGCGAAGCACCATGGACAGGTTTTGAAGGGAGACTTTGTTCTTGCACTGCAAATGGAGAAGACATATACTCACCCTTCCTGATTCTATTTCCCCTTTCGTATGCATCTTAATCTTCTAAATCTAATTTTTCATCTTAATTCTTACTGCGTTTGTATCTTAGACCCCTATCTACAAGGATCAACTTGGTTGTTAATCTTTCTTCACCTCTCATCTATCCCTGAACCTGATCCCATCATCTTCTTCCTTTCTCAGTCCCCTGGCCCTATTGTCCTCATCCAGGTCTGCTCCGACTCTCCCTCCCCTCTGATTTCATTCTCCTAGCTCCAGTATAGTTCTATTCTGGTATTCATATCCTAGGGAAATTCAAAGAACCAAAACAATCTCATCTTTCCCATCTGTGTTTTCCAAGAGTATAATAGATGGCTCACATGGGTGAGGGCTCCAGAGAAGCAGGTGTGGGCAGACGCAATATCCCCTTTTTTCCAGTACACCTCACCCAGCTGGTTCCAGGCTTCCACCAGCTTGGGCTCCAGCTTCACAGCCTTGGACAGAAGTTCCTCAGCCTTAGGGCTATAGTCAGGAGTCACATTCAGTGCCTTCCCAGTCAGCATCAGAACCTGGGCCTTGCCCTGGGCAGAACCTAGGTGGAAGGGGAAAAAGATAAAGGCAATTGGAAAAACTGAGGCAATCTTACAGATAAGACCAGGACACTTTCTCTCAAGAAATAACCTCAGGTCAGCCCTAGGAAGGAAACAGTTGAAGGAAATCTGTATGAACAAACCACTTATTGAAAGCCTACCATAGGCAGAGTACTGTGTTAGGTTATGGGGTAACAAAGAAAGCATTATCCCTACCCTGGAGGGGCTTATTGCCCCTCTGGTAGAGAGAGAGAACAAAGCATATTCGTGGAAAATTAAAACAACAATGAAAAGGGGCATCTGGCATATCCCAATGAATAAGCTTTAAAAAGTGAAAAGGAGAAAACTATGTAAACCAAGACAGAGAGGCAGAAACCCCTGTGGCATGTTCAAGGAAGAATTGATAGTCCAACCCAAAAGAAACAGAAAGTTCCTCTGTAAGTAAGTAGGCAGAGAGAAGAGTAGAAGAAAACAAACAGAAATGGTCAGACAATAGAGACTTGAATACCATTTTAATTCCTACCAAATTAAGGTGTTGAGACTTTAACCAGTCAGCAGCAGGAATCTTTGAATACACTTGAGCAAAGAGGCAAACAAAAGGATAAGACTAAACGCAGGAAGAAATATTTAGAAAGATAATGGCATGATCATTATATAAAAAATTTGGAAGTAAAAAAAATTAGAAGCAGAAAGGTCAATTAAGAAGAACAGTCTCAGAAAAAAATATGTTCTTTTATTTTATGGCATTCGCTATAATCAAACTTTGGAAAACATTGTCTAGAGGACCGGTAGGCTGCCATCCTACACAGTGGCCCTTAGAAGAAATATTCTGTTGGGGCGCCTGGGTGGCTCAGTCAGTTAGGCATCCGACTTCGGCTCAAGTCATGATCTCATAGTTCATGGGTTTGAGCCCCGCATTGGGCTCTGTGCTGACAGCTCAGAGCCTGGAGCCTGCTTCAGATTCTGTGTCTCCCCCTCTCTCTGCCCCTCACCTGCTTGCTCACTTGCTCTTTCTCTCAAAAAAAAAAATTTTTTTTGAAAAAAAAATTTTTTTAAAAAAGAAGAAATATTCTGTTGTACCATCCTGCAACAGCCACAAACAATATAGCAGAGTTTAGAAAGAGAGAGCAAAACTCTGCAGCACGTTAGTTAGCCTCCCGCAGGGGGCTCCATGCTCTTTTGCAGCTCGTACCCACTACTTCCTCCATCTGCTGCAGGGTCTTCTCCATCTCTTCCCGCACATCCTGTTGCTTCCTTCCAGCATCCTCCACACCATGTGTCTCGAAATAGCACTCTCGAAACGAATAGAGCTGATCCACCAGTTCCTAAGAAGTGTAAAAAGGGTACCATTAAGAGGAGAGAACATCATACTCTGGTTTCTCTTCAGATCGTGTAAATCTTTCACCTTTTACTCAAGATTTCTGTGGAAAAGAGGAGCGAACGGCAGACAAGGAAATTTGAGACTGGCTGGCCATACCAGTTGGGGCCTAGAATTACTGATTCTCTATCTCACTAGGAATGACACAAGAGGCAGGCGGACAGGTCTACCAAAATGCACAGGTCATGAAGAAAAGTAGCCACTGTCCCAGGACCACTCTGGTGAAGTTCCGTGCCAGTCTGTGCACCATGATGACAGCTGTCTCTCTCCCAGCCCCAGCAGGGCTTCCAGTATGGCTAAGCACTTCATATACCATAGTCAAGAGGAGGGAAACACTTTGCAACTTGAGATAAAACAAGAAGTTAATAAGATAATCCAATATGGGACTGCCCTCCAGAATATATAAAACTTTGAAATTTCCCCTGAAAACTGGACTTCCTGACAAAAATAACCTGCTCTCTGATTTTTCCTATGCTGGTATCTGAAAATATATGACCTTTGTGAATATGATAAACATGTGAGAGCCACTGTTTTCCACAACCAACAGACCGATTTAAGTTTGAGAACCTTGGTGTTTTTCCAGGATTTTGTTTCTTCAAATACTCCTATTTTTGTTTGTTTGTTTTGTTCTGTTATGTTTTTGTCAAGTCACCTTCTGGCTCTCTTGTATTCTTCCCAAGTAAATGTTCCCTTTCCTATTTTAAATACCTCTGTCTCTGAGTCTTCCTGGGACACCAAAGCTTTTCCATTACCTGTTCTTTCATCCTGAAAATGAACAGCAGCAGAAATATATAACACAACTCACAACACATCTGTCGCATCTTAACTACCTCCACAACTAAATCCATCTACCTATCTCCATCCCACTAGTAATATCCTGGACTAAATCAGCACCATTACTTGCCTGGACTATTGCAATAGTTTCTTACCTGGTCATCTTGTTTCTATTCTCTCCTATTCTCCTCATTATAGTCGGAATGACCTTACAAATATATACATCATCTCACAAACTCTCAGTTTTCCACTGTAGAATAAAATCGAACTCCTAACCACAGCTGAAAAGACTGTACAATCTGACCTCACACTACTCACCCGGCTACAAACTTCACTTCTCACTCTCCCCTCTACAATACTCAAGCCACATTGGCTTTCATGGAGTTCTTCAGATTCAGCAAGCTCAGTCCCACGATGGGAGCCTTATACATGTTGTTCCCCCTGCCTGGACATTCTTCCACCATATCTCTGCATGACTCATTCTTCATCATCATTTAGATCTCAGTTCAATATCAACTTCTCAGAGAGGCTTTCCATGACTCCTCAAACTAAAGTAACCACTTCCACTTTTGCCCACTGTTAAATCACACTCTTATTTTTCTCCATTGTACTTATCAGTTGAAATTATGTGGCCTATACATTAGCGGTCTATGTCTGTCTCCATCACTAGAATGTAAGCTCCATGATGGGAGGGTCTTAATCTCCTGTCTCCCATGTTCAGAACTATACATAAGCACTACCACAGGATTTGGGACATGATAGGCCCTCATTAAAAATGTTGACTGAGGTGCGCCTGGGTGGCTCAGTTGGTTAAGTGTCTGATTTTGGCTCAGGTCATGATCTCATGGTTCATGAGTTCGAGCCCCATATTGGATTCTCTGCTGTCAGCACAGAGCGTGCTTCGAATCCTCTGTCCCCTTCTGTCTGCCCCTCTCCCACTTGTGCTCTCTCTCAAAAATAAACACTTTAGAAAAAAATGTTGACTTAATGGTTTAATGAATCATCCTTGTCTCTAACCAACAGGTTATGTGCTGTACTTAATTTAAAACCCCACCCAGAGCAAAGAGAATGGACAGTATCCTCTGTAGTAGCGATATTTTTCAAATTTTATTGTGTGCACTATTTTCAGGACACAGCCCACAGATTCTGGTTTTAGAAGTTTTCACAGAACTCAAATCACCTATTAACAAGCACTTTAGATGGCTGAAATGAAAATGGTCTATAAAACACACTTTGAAAAATATCCTTTTGTTACATTCCTTTTTCCCTTTTTAGGCAGAAATCAAAATGTACCACCATTCCCATAAATAGTAACATCACTATCTTTTTCCTCTCCTCTACTCCATTCCCCCCCATTCCATTCCTGCACCACTCCTGCCCACCTACCCCAAGGTACTCCCAGCATACATGCTTAGTCCATCTACGACAAATGAGCCCAGGAAAAGACAGTTCTCAGCAAAACTTACAATACAATTCCTTTTGTCCTGCAATCAGCATGGCTGCCAATTAGGAATTTTAATTAGAGAGGGTCTCATTGTCTCATTCTAGCTGTGAAAGCAAATATGCATGAAATTGTTTAGTTTTGTTGTTTTGTTTTGCTGCAGTAAACACTTTTTTAATGTTTATTTATTCATTTTGAGAGACAGAGAGCACATGCAAGCAGGGGAGGGGCAGAGAGAGGGAGACAGAGAGAATCCCAAGCAGGATCTGTGCTGTCAGCCCAGAGCTCAACACGGGGCTCGATCTCACCAACTGTGAGATCATGACCTGAGCCAAAATCAAGAGTCAGTCGTTAAACCAACTAAGCCACTCAGCTGCCCCACTGCAGTGAACATTTTTAATAACTTTTTGTCTCGTGGAAAAATCAATATATGTAAGGTGCTAAAATTCAAGTATGTACATGTAAAAAATACAAAGTAAGAAATTCCTCATAATCACTCCGAACAACCTCAGGGATAACTACTGTTTAGTATACCTCTTCAGACTTTTTTCTAGACGTATCCAAATACATATATACAACGTCTCTAATATGGAGCCAGTATTGATAATCTCGGATTTCAGCGAGTCACGACAGGGAATGAAAATAAATTAATCCAAGTCAACTGGAAGTAAAATAAAGCTCACACTCTAAAAAATGTTATTTTAATAGGCTCAAGAAACAAATAAATGTCACCAATGTTTAAACTTTTTGCATTACAAGCCTTTAGTCAGGGTATAAGCCTGTCACAGGTCTAATGTTTAAATTTCAGGCTGTCTTAGAACACAAAGAACTGAGTTTCTGAGTTTTAAGGAAAATACTGGGTCATGGAAATAAGGTAAAGAAGTAACCAGTTAGCTCATACCTACCAAGTACAAAAGACTAGCCTTCCTCACAACTGCAGTCAACTGTGAACTGGGTGGAGTATGGGCCCTCTGCATCAGACCCCAGACTGGAATAGCAAGTGTGCAAAAGAATCAAAACCGTGCAGTCCTGAGAGGAGTAACCAGGATACAAGGGGTGCAAGCTATTACTGTGCTTGTTGCCAATTTCAAAGCAGGTAAGTAGTAAAGAAATGGCCAGTTTCAAAGCAGAGAAGTAGTAAAGAAATGGCCTTTGTGGGAATGAAAACAATACATGATAATAGCTCCTGCAGATCTGCTACATACATGTGTATACTATCTGTTATGGGTGAATCGGAAAAACAAAACAAAACTCCGTAAGAACGCTGAAGAATAAATTTAGGAGCGCAAGAATAAACTTAGGAGCAACAAATCCTCTTCCAAACAGGAGTGAAGTTGAGTGCAGGCAGGTCAGCAGCAGAAGGTCCCAACACCCCGCTGCGCCCCTTCCGTAACAGGGGAGGCTCCCCTCTCCGCCAGCGGGCGAACCCTCAGGAGTTGTTATAGTAACCTCACTAACACATGCAGCGTCCTGCATGCGCCAAGTAATTCGCTGGTAATATATAGACTGGACTCCCCCCTTCTTCCCAAGTAACAAAAGCACATATAGATTTTAACCTATGACTCCCACCTGCAATTTCTGCAAGATCTGCTTGACTTCCTCGTCTTCATCAGCCATCATTTCCCAGCCAGTCTCGGCTTCTCCGCCCCCAACTTTGTAACCACAGAGACTCAGGCCCACCCCCATGGTGGAGCCAGAGCGACATCTAGGGTACTGGAGGCTTACCCGCACCTGAGTAGAGGAGCTGGTTGGTTTGGGTTTTACATGTATCCAAACATTATTTTTAATTTAAAAAAAAATGGACAAATTATACATTTGACAAATCACAATGGTAATTTACGATTTCAGGGAAAAACACAAAAATTCTCCAGTTTTCTTATGAGAATCACTATAAAGTTATAATGTAAACACATTTCTCAATGTGAAAAGGCATAAAATTTCCTTTATAGATAACGTGTCACTTATCTATCATGTAATATCAAATGCACGTGTAATGCCTTAAAGTAAATATGATTCTTTTGAGCAAAAGGAGCCAAATCAAAGACATCATTAAGGAAAAACATGCATACAAGACTGAATTCTATGGAGGACAGAGGCCATTATTTTACTTATTTTTAATTTTTTTATGTTTATTTATCTTTGAGAGAGAGGTGGGGGAGGGGCAAAGAGACAGACAGAATCTGAAGCAGGCTCCAGGCTCTGAGCTGTGAGCACAGGGCCCCATGCGGGGCTGGAACTCACAAACCCCAAGATCATGCCCTGAGCCACCCAGGTGCCCCTATTTTACATATTTTTAAACTCGATAGTTCTGACAGAGCTCTCAGAACATAGTTTTTCAGTTAATGGGCAGCAAACTGACTTACTGGTTAAATTAGCAACCATGCAGCTGCCTGACAACAATTGGATAATTTAGGAGTAACTGGCTTCTGGACATTAATTTTAATTACTTTGAAAAGCCATAATTTAGTACCAAATGTTTAAACACCCACTATAATTGCTAAGCTGTGAAGTCAGCTTTATAACAGATCAGCTATACAAAAGTCATCAATTTTCTTCAAAAAAAAAAAAAAGCTAGTAGAAATCCCAAAGAATAAAGAAAAAATTACTAAAGGTCACATTTACTAATCTAGTACCATAAGTCCAGTCTTAGGCCATCCCAAGTGGCTGCAAGGAGGAATGGCAGAGGTGATGATGTTGGAAAAGGGTGCTTCGTTTATTTATTTATTTGTTTGTTTATTTATTTATTAGCTTTTAGGGCATGATCTCACCTCTCCTGAGTTTGAGCCCTGCACAGGGACTCTGCTGACATACTGTGTCTCCCTCTCTCTCTGCTCCTCTCCCACTAACGCTCTCTCTGCCTCAAAAGTAAATAAACGTTAAAAAAAATTTTACCGTTTATTTACTTTTGAGGCAGAGAGAGACAGAGCGTGAGTGGGGGAGGGTCAGAGACGGAGGGAGACACAGAATCCAAACCGAGCTCCAGGCTCCGAGCTGTCAACACAGAACCCAACGCAGGGCTCAAACCCACAGACCAAGAGATCAAGACCTGAGTCGACGTCCGGTGCTTAACAGACTGAGCCACCCAGGTGCCCCAGAAAAGGGTACTTCTTAACCTGTGGGCCCTTTTGTGCTGTAAGGCAACACAGGATCTAGCAGAGAGGAAAATCGATGAGGCAGGAATTTTAAACAAAAGTTTTTGGTTCAGATGGTAAGGAGGCCCTCAAGAACAGCAGAAATCAGTATATCCAGGAGGCAGGGCTGGAGTCTACTTCGTGAACTAGAGGGTTTCTTCTTGGTATCCAAGTCCTTTTTAAATTTCTTCAAGTTTTTTAGCCAGGTTTGATATGTCATAATTCTGAGCCAGATACATTCCAAACACGTTGCCAAAAGTAAATCCAAGCAGGATCTGGAGCATGGGGTCTGCAAGGAGGGGGAGGAGGGTGCAAAGGGTGGCTAAGAGTTGGTTTTCAAGGAAGGGCACCACGGCAAACCAACTTAACCCAATACCTGTAGCTCAAGAGAGGCTCTATAAATCACTTTGAGTTCATAAACTTGTTTCTTTCCCAAATCCTGGAAACATACTAGTCTCAACTTAATTGCATGTATATTTTTGTTCTGTATCTTTTTATTTTGGGGGGTGGGGGGAGAGCACCAGCAGGGAAAGAGCAGAGAGTGGGGACAGAGGATCTGAAGCAGGCTCTGCGCTGACAGGCTGACAGCAGCAGATGATGTGGGGCTCCAACTCACAAACCACAAAACCATGACCTTAGCTGATGTATGCCATTCAACCAACTGAGCCACCCAGCAACCTCTGTTCCGTATCTTTGTACTTATACCAAGATTGTATTACCACCTCCCTCTGCCAAAAAAGGACAGGTTAAGACAGTGTATACCTGTGTTGTAAGTTTAAAATTTTGAAGGAAATTGGTTGAATATTTTCCAAACACTCAGGATGGTATCATGAAAGCCATAACTAATACACTGACAGTATATTGACACACTCTTAATGCCAATATATTGACTATATCTAGAATATATAACAATGACACTGTCTCTGTAAAGGGAAATGGGGGCCAAGAGTTGTCAGTGGGCAAACAAAATTCTTTTGCTGTGTACACTTTTGAATTTATTATGTACATGTACTACCTATTCAAAACCAATTGTTTTAAGTTTTGTTTTTTTTTTTTAATGTTTATTTTTGAGGGAGGGGAGGGGCAGCAAGAGAGGGAGAGAGAATCCCAACCTATCAGCGCAGAGCCCAACATGGAGCCCGAATTGACGAACCACGAGATAGTGACCTGAGCCAAAATCAAGGGTCAGATGCTTAATCGACTGAACCACCCAGGCACCCCAGAAATAAATTTAATTTTTAAATAAAATATTAGTTGCTTCTACATAGCCTATCTCAGAGAGAGACACAAGACACTGACAACAGTTGCTTTCAGAAAAGTGAGGTGACTGGGGTCAGGGGTGAAAGGGATTTCACTCTATGCCTTTTTTTGTACCCTTGTGCCATGTGAATATATTAAACTCTTCAATAAGAAACTTTTTAAAAGTGGCATATAATAGTCCTAATAAAGGCTCTCTTTACTTTTTAATTATAGTTTATTTGTATTTCAAACTGATCCTGTGGGGTCTGGGGAAGAAAAAAGAAAAAAGAAAGAAAAACTGATCCTGTGAACCTAACAAAAGAAGCAAAGGTCCAAGGCAGAAATCATGAATATACATAAAATTATTTCCCCAAACCATTTTCCAGCAAAATTTAAAACTGCTTAAGGAAGAAAAATACTTTGCAACATAACCTATGAAATCTGTGTTAACAGCTATGAAATGGGGAGAGGGGTTTTAAAAGATTTTAACCTTTTTCTCAGACACCATTTTAACTTTGGAATACAGAAAAAAAAATTTAATTTTTTTTTCAACGTTTATTTATTTTTGGGACAGAGAGAGACAGAGCATGAACAGGGGAGGGGCAGAGAGAGAGGGAGACACAGAATCGGAAACAGGTTCCAGGCTCTGAGCCATCAGCCCAGAGCCCGACGCGGGGCTCGAACTCACGGACCGCGAGATCGTGACCTGGCTGAAGTCGGACGCTTAACCGACTGCGCCACCCAGGCGCCCCAAAAAAAAATTTTTTAAGTGAAGTTATATTCTATACTACTAACGAAGAAAACATTACTTCCTTTCTATCCAATTATATAAAGCAAGGGTATTTAGTATTTACTTGCCTTTCTACAACTAAATATAAAACCTCTTCAAATGCTTTCAGTATGACTTTATTACCCAAATAACAATGGGATTTGACATTTAGGGTAATCCCATTGTATTTCCTCCCAAACCAATAAAAATAAATAATAAAATTCAAGAGGTAAAGAAGGATTACAAGATAATTTAATTCAGTCCTTCATTTTACAGATGTAGAAGCAAATTCCCAGAAAGTTTAAATTCAAACTCACAACCAATAGGAAAAAAACATAATTGGAACCCAGATGTCCTGCCTCTGCAATCAGTATGCTTTCAAGTCACGCCCCTAATAGGATGTAAGGTAACTGAAAGTGTCATTCAAATTTCTTTCCTGGCTCCACATTTTTCAAAAATTTTTTTTAATGTTTATTTATTTTTGAGAGACAGAGCATGAGCACAGTAAGGACAGAGAGAGAGGAAGACACAGAATCCGAAAGAGGCTCCAAGCTGAGCTGTCAGCACAAAGCCCCACGCGGGGCTCCGACCCATGAACTGTGAGATCGTGACCTGAGCCAAATGAAGTCGGATGTTTAACCAACTGAGCCACCCAGGGCACCCCTTAGCTCCACATTTTAATGTTTATTTATTTTGGGGACAGACAGAGACAGAGCGCGAGTAGGGGAGGGGCAGAGAGAGAGGGAGACACAGAATCTGAAGCGAGCTCCAGGTTCTGAGCTGTTAACACAGAGTCCGATGTGGGGCTCCAACCCACGAACCATAAGATCATGACCCGAGCAGAAGTCGGTAACTTAACCGACTGAGCCACCCAGGTGCCCCCACATTTTAAATAAGTAATCTGTGATAGTAGTCAGAAATGCTATTTAATAAAGGAAAACAAGGAACAAATCTTTAAAAGTATTTTAATTAATATAATCTCTTGAGATCAATAATATATTGTTTAAATTTTCTGCGTAAGTAGGCCCAAGGCAACTGCTGGCAAAAAGGTAAAGAAAAAGTAATTTTATTTTAAAATAAATGCCAAAAATCAACTTCACAAAATAACTTTATCAATATGAATCATTTTAAAAAAGAAATATAAGACTTCATATACATGCATCAAATTGTACTCTCATTCACTGACATGAACACACCTCCACAAACTAACACAAGGGCAAATACATAAATATATACAAATAGATATACATAGCCAAATAACGAGCTACAGATTCACCTGCCATTTCCAGAGACCAAAATCTTCTTACAAATACACTGGCAAATACAGCAAAATACCAATATAAAGGAACACATATATACATATATGCATAAATACCAGAACCCAAAGTGACATGTAGACATATACCACAGTGCTTATATATAAATACATCATAAATAAGCATGTAATCCAGAAAGAAAACAAATGGTGATCTACAAAACAGTCAAAAATATTATACCCTTTTCATTGCTGGTGA